AAATAGTTCCTCAGTTCAAGAGCTCAGGTTACCTAGTACAAACTCTTAAATCCTTTCTTGAAAAAAACACATTTTCTATGTCTTTGAATATATTTTCTGCTGCTTGTGGCATTGTCATTACATATCCCCTCAGTCCTTAGGTATTGTACCCTCTTCATGTCAAACTATATTATCATTGGTTGATATGAAGTTTTTTTCTTTTATCCTAAAATCCTATTTTCTTCACAGTTTATTTTCCTTTATCTTCACTGTGCATAAGTAAATACTTTCACGTTTTTTGACATACTTTTTAAAGATTTTGGTACAAAATCCATTTTTTTTTTGCAGACTGTAGTAACCGCCAGTATTAGATGCCCATTTCTATAAATTTTGTGTATAATATTGAAAGTACATACAGTTACAGTGAAGTCTTATTCCACTTGACTGAATTGTAAGATCCAAGTCTTACAATTGTAAGATCCAAGTCTTATTCCGCTTGACTGAATTTTAAGATCCACCTTTGAGCATGCTCCCATCCTCCTGGAGGACAGTGGTTTAGTAGGACACCCTCCATGGTCTCAACTGTGCTCAGTCCACAGATTGAAGCCTACTTATGGTCTTTGATAATGTGCACATAGAAGTTATTCCCTATTTTGACCCAATAGAATTCAGAATCTTCTGTAGTGAGAGCTGCAGTATTTGAGGTGTTTCTTTCTCCAACACAACTACTCTTTCTCCTTTTTCTAGTGTTTTCACCTATATATCACATATATCTACTAGTTTATTCTTAATTGCTTCCCAATAAGTGTCTGCTCTATTGTTCTCTGACCGAACCTGAAACTGGACATTTTGTTTAGTCTGGCCAGTCAGTGAGCTCTGAAGATCCACCTGCCTCTGCTTCCCAACCCGGGGGTTGCAAGTGTATATGACAATACACGGCTTCTACTTAGGTGCTGGAAATTTGAACTCAGATCTTCAGTTTTGCACAGCAATTGCTTTTACATACTGAACCATCTCTCTAGCCCATAATTATTATTTCAAACATTTTCTTCAGCACTGAAGTTTACAACATAGCTATAAACAACATAGCTAAATTTTGTCCTATTTTGAAAAAAGGGACACATGTATACACATGCAGATACACACACACACACAGAGAGAGAGAGAGAGAGAGAGAGAGAGAGATGAATTCTGTTCAATTTATCACAATCAAATTGAAATTTTACATATGTTCCCAAAGGCTAATTATGAGAAATAACCTCCTTAATATTCTTAAAGGCTTAAATTGAAACTCCAATAAGCCCATGAAATCAATTTTTTCTCAAGTAGTCAAATTCATAGAAGAAAGCAGTTATAAATCAGTGCAGTTTTTATTATTGAGAATTTTGGCACCTATTTACTTTAGAGATATTGAACTTTAGTTTTCTTTTCTTGTGTGTCTTCACCTGATTTTGATATTAGAGTAATATGGCTTCAGGGCAGGAGTTTAGAAGTTCTCTCTGTGTTTCTTTCCCTCTGAATAATTTAATCAGCATTGGGTGTAGTTTTTCTTTGGAGATCTGGTGAAATTCTACTGTGAATCCATCTGGACATGCACTTTCTTTAGTCAGATGGCTTTTTATTACTTTTTGGGTTTCATTTTTTGTTACGGGTGTGTTTAAGTTTTTGCTGTCTTCTAGGTTTAACTTTAGTGATTCAGTTGAATATAGAAATCCATCCATCAAATTTAGATTTTTCTGATTAACTGTAGTATAGGTTTTTAAAAATATTCCCTTATATTTTTGGATACTTTGGTGTGATATTTCCATTTTCACCTCTGACTTTTTGATTTGTGTTTTCTCTTTCTTTTGGTTATCTGAGGTAAGGGTCTGTCCAATCCTGCATTTCTTCTCAAAGAACCAACTCTTAGATTCATTGATTCTTTGCATTGTTTACCTTGTTTCTGTATCAATAATTTTGGCTCTGATTTTTATTATTTTTTTCTCATTGGCTAGGTTTGTTTTGGGTTTGTCTTTATTTTTCCAAATTCTTAAGTTGTATCATTAAGTTATTTATCTGTGCTTTTTGTAATTTTAATGGAGGTGCTTAAGGCTATAAATTTCTCTCTTTGGACCTTCTTTAATGTGTTCTAGACATTTTGTTGTGTTCTGTTTTCATTTTCATTTAATTCCGGGACTACTTTTTCTTTTCTTTATTTCTTCTTTGACCTACTTATCATTCAGGAGTGTGTTGTTAATTTTCGCCAGTTCATGTAGTTATGAGAACTTCTTTCACTTTTGCTTTTAAGCTTTAATCATTTCTGGTAAGATAGGATACATTGAGTTATTTATTTATTTTTGTATTTGTTTGAGGGTATTTTTGTGCTCCAGGAGGTGGTCTATTTTAGAGAAACTTCTGTTGGTAAAATTTGTATTCTTTGGTGCTTAGATAAGTATTCTGTAGGTAGTCCTTCAGGTCCATTTGATGTATGATATCATTTAATTCAGATGTTTCTCTGCTCACTCTTTTTCCAGATGACCTGTCTATTGGAAAGAGCAGGGTATTGAATTCTCCAACTGCTACCAAATTTGGGTTAATCTGTGTCTTGAATGCAGTACTACTCCTTTTATGAAATTGGGTGATGTGCCAGAGTTTGGTGCATATATGTTTATGATTGTAATGTCTTCTTGGTAGATTGATCCCTTGATCAGAATGAAGTGGTCTTATTTATGTCTTTTGATTAAATTTAGTTAAAAGTTGAGTGTATCAGCCATTAGGATAGTAATACCAGCTTGTTCTTGTTCCTATTCGCTTAGAATAGTTTTTTTCCATCTTTTTACTCTAAAATCATGCCTGTCCTTGAAAGTAAGATTAGTTTCCACAGACAACAAGATGGATTTTTGTTTCTTGATCCACTTAGCTAACCTGTGTCTTTTTATTGGGGAATTGAAGTCAATGATGTATAAAGTAATTATTGAAAGATGTGTGTTGGCTAATGTTATTTGTGTGTGTGTGTGTGTGTGTGTGTGTGTTCCTAGACCTATTTTGAGTTTATGTAACTACCTCTTCATTTGTTTTATTTCCATAGCTTCTTGGGTGTGGTTAGTTCCTTTTTCTGTCTGTTGTATTGCTCCTGCTATTCTTTGTAGGGCTGCTTTCTGGGCATGAATTATTTCAGGCTATTTAAATCGTGGAATATTTTTCTCCTTCAATTACGGCAGATAGTCTTGCTGGAAAAAGTAGTGTCAGTTG